CCCCCGTGTGACCCCGGGTCCCCCTCGTGTCCCCCCGGGTCCCCCCGTGTCGTACCGGGTGTCCCCCTTGGAGGGGACACGGACACGGCTGGGTCGGGGACAGGATGAGAGCGGCATGGGGACACGGGACAGGGACATGGGGGGACACGGGACAGGGACATGAGGGGACACGGAAAAGGAAAAGGGGGGAAAACGGACAGGGACATGGGGGGACACGGAACAGGGACATGAGGACACCAGGGAACTTGGGGACACTCACGGAGACATGGGCACAAGGACACGGGATAGGCACGGGGATATAGGGGACGCGGGGGGACATGGGACAACACAGGACCGGGTTTTGGGGGGACACAGGGCTGGGGGGATACAGGAGACATGAGGGGACACAGGACAGGGATGTGGGGACACAGGGGATGCGGGGGACACAAGAGACACAAAGGGACACAGGACAGGGACACGGGGCGTTGAGCATGACCAGGACCCGCTGTCCTGCCACATCCGTGTCCCCAAGGCAGATCCCGGATGTCCCATTGCCTTCTCCCAGGTAACGGGGAGATGTCACCCTGATGTCACCTCGCCGCCCCCAGCCGCCAGCTGTGTCCAATCGGTGTCTCCACAGCTGTGGCACTTCTGGGGACTTCCCATAAATCCCGGAGCCGCTTGGCAGTGCCAGAGCTGGGACTGGTGAGTGGCACTGGGGTGGGTGACATTGGGGGTGGCCCACAAGGACACCCCAGGGATTGTGACAGTGGAGTCACCTGGATCCCACTTTTCCAGGAAAACCGGGATGTGGCATGGCCGGAGTGGGGTGGCCGGGGGTCCCTGCGGGGGTCGTGGCCGCCGCGGTGCTGTGGGTGACAGCCGTGGGGGCAGCCACAGGGTGAGGAACTGGGAATGGGGAATGCAAGCTGGGAATAAGTGTAGGAACTGGGAATGGGTGTGGAAGCTGGGAATGGGTGTGGGAACTGGGAATGGGTGTGGGAACTGGGAATGGGAACTGGGAATGGGTGTGGGAGCTGGGAAAGAGAACTGGGAATTGTGGGCGCAGAATGGAGATCAGGGATTGGAACCAGGAATGGGTGGTGGGAGCTGGGATGGGTGCCCAGACTGGGGATGGATGTGGTGGGTGCTGGGATGAGAGCTGGGCTGGGGCTGGGATTGTGCTGGATCCCGGTGGATCCCGGCTGGATCCCGGTGGCTCCCGGTGGATCCCGGTGGTGCCCGCAGGCGCTGGTGCCAGCGCACGGTGCTGGTGACGGAGCAGGAGGAGGTGACGCCGCGGCGCGAGGCCGCCGTGCCGTGTCCCAGTTTGTACCAGTACAGCCTGGCCGGGTGGCGGCTGGACCGGGACCGCACGCGCCGGGAACGCGGGAATTCCCCCGGGGACACCGGCACCGACCCCGCCCTCTGCTACATCTACCGGTGAGCCCGCGGGTGTGGAACAGGATGACACCAGGTGATGCTGGGTGACACCGGGGTGACACCGGGGTGTCCCCACAGCCCCCCGGAGATGCAGCCGGTGGTCCGGAACCGCACGGAGCGTGGCTGCTGTCCCGGCTGGAGCGGCGCCCGCTGCACTGAGGGTGAGGGGGACACAGGGGTGGCACCTGGGGATGTCCCCGCTGTGCCATCCCCACTGGGAGCTGGGATGGGCTCATTCCCACCAACATTCCCAGTGGGTGCCGGGAGGTGTGCTGGGAGCAGTGGTGGGTGCCAGGATGGGAGGTGGGAGTAGGAATGGGATCAGGGATGGGATCTAGGATGGGTGCTGGGAGCTGGGATGGGTGCTGGGAGCTGGGATGAGTGACATTCCCATCACGTCATTCCCGGTGCAACACCCTCCCTGTGCCATTCCCACTGGATGCCAAGATGGGTGCTGGGGCGTGTGTCACCCGCTGTGCCCCTTGGTGTCACCCCCTGTCCCCATGCCCCAGGCCCCGGCTCCCTGGGCCGCTGTTTCAGCGCGTGGCAGTGCCAGGACAGCGCCGGTGGCCACAACGGCAGCGCCATGAGCCGCGCCGAGTGCTGCCAGCACCCCTGGGGACACAGCTGGCGCCGTGGGGACACCGAGGGGCCCTGCCTGCCCTGCACCCGCCTGCCCCTGGGCGGGGACGGGGGGTCCCCGCGCCACCGCAGCCCCCCGGCCACGTGCCAGGCCTGGGCAGGGACGCGGTTCCGCACCTTCGACGGGCGGCACTTCGGCTTCGGGGGCACCTGCCGGTACAGCCTGGCCACCGCCACCGACGGCACCTGGGACGTCACCATCGGCCTCGGACACCCCCGGGTACCCCCGGGCACTCCCGGGCACCGGGCACGGGGGGGTCACTCAAAGTCACCGCTGGCGTGGGATGGGGCTGGGATGGACATCGGGAACGGGGGGTGACAGAACCTGGGGTGTCACCATCGGCCTCGGACACACAGACACTGGGGGGGACAGGATGGGTCACCTGGGGGGAGTGGGTGGGTCATGGAGGGGGACAGGATGGGTGTGGTTACTGCGCTGCAAAGAGAGAGAAAAGACAGCAACACACACGGAGATCTTTTGGGGAAAAAAGCCAATTTATTGTACAGACAGCCCGGATTTAAAGTGTGTTAGTGCAGCCAGGACAGGACAGGAGTTCATTGGACAATTGGGAAAAACATCCCTGGGACAGCGTGTCTGGATGTCCCATGGGAAAGACAGCAGGTGTTAATCTTTATTATGAATTCCACTCTGTTTGTCACCAAGTTATCACTCTGGGACACTGCCTCCCTTAACTGAAGCTGCAGTCAGCTTGTCAGCCTGGGAATGCAGCTGAGAGTCAGGAGAAATCCAGGCCTGAAAGGAATTGCCAAGCTGGAATTCCCCAGCTCTCTGAATGTGTGTGTCCACAGATGGGTCATTGAGGGGACAGGATGGGTCATTGGGGTCACTGGTCCCATTCCCAGAGGTGGAACGAGGGCTGGGGGCAGGGATGGGTGCCAGGATTGGTTTTGGGGGTTGGGGTGAGTTTGGGAGCCAGGATGGGACCTGGAATGGCACAGCCATGGGTCCCTCCCTGGTGACCGTGACACACCCGAGTGTCCCAGTGCCACCCCCGCTGCCACAGGTGCTGCACATGACCTTTGGGACGGACACGGTGGTGGCCGAGGGACGGAACGTGTCGGTGAACGGGGCAGCGGTGCCCGAGGGACGCCCCTACCTGCACAAAGGTGAGGTCCCCGAGGCCACCAGCCTGGGGCGGGGGGAGGACGAGCCCCCAGTGACACCAGGAAGCGCCAGGACACGGTGATCGATCAGCTGCCACCGGAATCCCTGTCCCCATCCTGTCCCCATCCCGTCCTCATCCCCTCGCGCAGGGCTCGGTGTCACCTGGCCAGGTGACTGGGTGGCCGTGGCCAGCAGCCTGGGCGTGCGGGTGGCCTGGGACAGGCACCTGGCAGTGACAGTGACAGCGGAGCCTGAGCTGCGCGGTGGCACCTGGGGGCTCTGTGGCACCTACACCGACGACCCTGCAGGTGAGTTCCACCCGCCCAGTGCCACCCCCACCCCCCCTGGGGGGCCGAGGGGACAGGGACACCGCCATGTCCCCCCCTCCCTGTCCCCAGATGACTTCGTGCGCCCTGACGGGGACATCGCCGCCATCGCCGCCGCCTTTGGCAACGCCTGGAAGGTGCCAGCGGCTGGCACAGAGGTACCTGAGGGGGCAGGGTGACCCCGTGTGCCCTTTGGGGGTCCCCGGGGGTCTTCCCTGCCCTGAGAGACCCCCGGCTCAGCCCCCATGCAGGGACGTGCCGGAGGGTGGCACCAGGTGTGGCCCAGGTGAGGTGGCAGCGGCGGTGGCCACGTGCGGGCGGCTGCTGGCCCAGCCCTTCCGGCAGTGCCACGGCGAGGTCAGCGGCACCAGGGGGCTCCGGGGGGATTGGGGGGGTCCTGAAGGGTTCTGGGATGTCCTGGGGGGTCCATGTGGTCCCAGGGAAGTACTGGGAGGCTTCTGGGAGTTCCAGGGGATCCCAGAGTTGTTCTGGGAAGTTCTGGGGGATCCCAGAGGCTGCTGGGGGGGGGGGTTGGGAAGGTCCCAGGGGATTCTGGAGAGTCCTGGGGAGTCCTGGAACTTCCCGTGGGGTTCTGGAAGATCCCAGGGCAGTCAAGGGGGTCAGGAGTCCTGGGGCGTCCTGAGGGTCCCAGGGGACTCTGGGAGGTCCTGGAAGGTCTGGGAAACTCCAGGGGGTTCTTGGGCATCCGGAGGGAGGTCCTGGGGATCCCTGGGATGTTCTGGGGTGTTCTGGGGGCTCTTGGAGGATTCTCACCGCTGCGCCCCCCCAGGTGGACCCCAGCGGGTTCTACGCAGCGTGTGTGGCACTGCTGTGCGGGGACGGGGACTCCGTGTCACCCCCCGGTCCCCTGCCATCTCCCGGTCCCCTGTCACCCTCCGTGCCACCCCCCGGTCCCCCGTCCCCCGCCGCCTGCGACACCTTCGCCGCCTACGCCCGGGAGTGCTCCCGCCGCCAGCTCCACGTCCCCTGGCGCCGTCCCGGCTTCTGCGGTAGGAACTGGGGGGGTCCCCTCCCCTCCCCGCGGTGCCATCGGTGCCACCGCGGTGTCACCCCCCCGCAGAGCGCCGCTGCGACGCGGGGCAGCGCTTCTCGGACTGCGTGTCGCTGTGCCCGGTCACCTGCGCCACGGCGGGCAGCGCCGAGCAGGGGACGTGCCACCGCCACTGCCACGGCGGCTGCGAGTGCGGCCCGGGGCTGGCCCGCGACGGGGCCACCTGTGTCCCCCCCGCCGCCTGCCCCTGCCACCACCGGCGACAGCGCTACGAGCCCGGCCAGAGCATCCGCCAGCGCTGCAACAACTGGTGGGTGGCACCGCGGTGACAGCGGTGGCGCTAGGCTGGCACCCGCTGATGGGCAGCCCCAGGGTCCCCTTTGGGGTGTCCCCCCCATCCCGGTGTCCTCCATGATGTCCCCTCACTCCGGGGTCCTGTAGCGTGTCGCACTTCATCCCAGGTTCCCTGTGACATGTCCCCCATTATCCTAGTGTCCCCTGGGACGTGTCCCCCATGCTGGCGTTCCCTCCGGTGTCACCCTCCACCCCTGCAGTGTCCCCCCTTCACCCCTGACTGGTGTCCCCGGTGTCCCCAGCACGTGCGAGGCCGGGCGCTGGCGCTGTGACCAGCAGCGCTGTCCGGCCGAGTGCGCGGTGCTGGGGGGACGTCACTTTGTCACCTTCGACCGCCGCCGCTTCTCCCTGCCCGCCGCCTGCGCCCACACCCTGCTGGAGGTGAGGGGACACGGGGGACATCGGGGAGTGGCCGCAGCGGTGACGGGGCGGGGCTCTGGTGGTGGCTGTGGGGGTGATGGGGTGGTGGCCGTGGTGACACGGCTCTGTAGGGGGGTGTCACCGTGTTTCTGTCCCCAGGACTTCGTGGCGGGGCGGCTGCTGATCACAGCCGAGCACGAGCCCTGTGCCAGCCACCGGCCCCTGGGCTGTCCCCGCTCCCTCACTGTCACCACCAGCCGCACCACGGCCCGGCTGCACGGCACAGGTGACACACCTGGACAGGACTGGGACCGACACCAGGACCGGGGCTGGGGTCACCCCCGCACGCTGGTGGCGTTGTGGCAGCACAGGGTCTCATCCCTGTGCCCATGTCCCATGTCCCCACGGCGGCGGGTGACATCCCAGAGCCGGTTCCCGAGTCCCGGTGGCAGTGGGAGCCATCCCGCTGCCTGTCCCTCATGTTCGCACGGCCCGGTGGCCACCCCATGGTGCCACTGCTGTCGCCACCAGGGGAGGTGACAGTGGCCGGGCGGGAGGTGACGCTGCCCTTCTCCGGTGCCGAGCTGAGCATCCGCCGCGCGTCCTCGGCCTTCCTGCACCTGCAGGTGCCCGACGCCCACCTGCTCTGGGGCCTGGGGACCCCCGACACCTTCATCACCCTGCAGCCCGCCATGGCCGGCACGGTGAGCGGGACCCCCGGGATGTCCCGGCGGGATGGGGGTCCCGGGGGGGTCAGGGTGTGCTGGGCTCTGCCCTGTTCCTGGTGGGATCCCCGGGATGGGCTCTGCTCCTCCGCTCAGGTGCGTGGGCTCTGCGGGACTTTCAACGGGGACCAGCGCGACGAGTTCACGACTCCGGAGGGGGACGTGGAGCCGGGAGTCGCCGCCTTCGCCAACGCGTTCCGGGCGGCCGGAGCGTGCCCGGCGCTGGGCCCCGCCATTCCCCATCCCTGCCACGGCTTCCCGGGGGGCCGGGAGCGCGCCGAGGCCGCCTGCGCCGTGCTCATGGGGCCGGCATTCCAGGTGAGGACCCCGGCGCGGGGCGAGCGGGGACAGGCGACATCGCTGTGACAATGTCCCCTCCTCCGGCACAGCCGTGTCACCGCGTGGTGGATCCCGAGCCGTTCCTGGAGCTGTGCCGCTGGGACGTGTGTTCCTGCCGGGAGCAGGAGCGGCTCCGGGAGCGCTGCCTGTGCCCGGCGCTGGGCGCCTACGGCCGGGAATGCGCCCGGGAGGGGACGGAGCTGGAGTGGAGGAACCGGAGCCTCTGCGGTGGGATGGGACAATGGGACAATGGGACAATGGGATAATGGGATAATGGGATAATGGGATAATTGGATAATGGGATAATGGAGTAATGGGATGGGATGGGATAACGGGATGGGATGGCATGAGGATGGGATGAGGTGACGTCTGCCTCCCGCTGACCCCCCCATGTCCCCCCAGACGAGCCGTGTCCCGGGGGGCAGCAGTACCGGGACTGTGGGGGTCCGTGTGGCCGTTCCTGCTCAGAGCCCCCCAACGCCAGTGACTGTCCCCCTCCGGACACCCTCTGCGTCCCCGGCTGTCGCTGCCCCCCGGGGCTGCTGCTGGCCCAGGGGGGCCAGTGTGTCCCCCCTGCCGCCTGCCCGTGTCCCCGCGGTGCCCGCCTGTACCCCCCCGGCGCTCGCATCCGCCGCGGCTGCCAGGCCTGGTGGGTCCCGGGGGAATTTGGGGGTCGCGGGGAGGTTTGGGGGGCTGGAGGGTCACCCACAGGACGAGGGTCATCCAGGCAGGAGGTGGCGGTGGAGGTGACACGTGATGAAAACCCCTCCAGCCCGGTGTGACACCCCGCGGGACGGGGGGGCTTTTGTCCCGTGTCCCACCGTGGGGACAGCGACGGGGCCCTGGGACCCCCGAGGGACTGGGGGGACCCTCAGTGGGGTGTGGGTTCCTGGGGGATGGGGGTGCAGGGGGTCGGTGGGATTTGGGTGCTGGGAGATGAGGGTGGGGGTGCAGGGACCCCGCTGTGGGGGGCTCAGGGGATTTGGGGGGATGAGGGATGGGGGTGGGGATATGGGGATCGCGGCTTGGGGGTCTCAGCAGAATGGGGGGGCTGGGGCTTGGGGGAGCCCGATGAGGGAGGGTCGGAGGGTGCTGGGGATGGAGTTGGGACCCCAGTGGTGGGTCCGGTGGAATTTGGGTTCTGGCGATGGGGACGGGGGGACCCGGCCGAGGGGCGCTCAGCCGGACGGGGGTCCCTCCCTCCCGCCCCCCGCAGTGTGTGCACAGGGGGGTCGTGGCGCTGCGCCCCCGCCCCGTGTCCCCCCGCCCCGCGCTGTCCCCCGGGGCTGCTGCACGCTCCGGGCTCCTGCCTGCGCCGCTGCGACCCCGCCGAGCCCTCCGGCACCTGCGGCGGCCCCGCCGACGGCTGCGTGTGTCCCCCCGGGACCCTGTTCCTGGTGGGTGTCACCCCCGGGGGGGTGGCGGTGTGGGGCTCCCCCCCCCAGCCCCCCTCACCGCCTTCTGCTCGCAGGGCGGGCGCTGCGTGTCCCCGGACGAGTGTCCCTGTCACCACGGCGGGCAGCTGTACCCGCCCAACGCCACCATCGCCCGCGACTGCAACACCTGGTGGGACCCTCGGACACCCCCAGACCCCCAGACCCTTGCCAGGGAGGCACCCTCAGTCCCCGCGGTGGCACCGAGCCTGTCCCCGCAGCGTGTGCCAGGGACAGCGGTGGCACTGCGGGCGCGAGGAGTGCGCGGGGACCTGCGTGGCCACGGGGGACCCGCACTACGTCACCTTCGATGGCCGCGCCTTCACCTTCGAGGGGGACTGCGAGTACCTGCTGGCGCGCGAGGCCACCGGGCTCTTCGCTGTCACCGCAGAGAACGTCCCCTGCGGTGCCACCGGTGTCACCTGCACCAAGTCCGTGGTGGTGGCCATGGGCAACACCGTGGTGCACATGCTGCGGGGTGAGGGGGACATGGGGCACACTGGGGACATGGGGGACATTGGGGACACCGTGGTGGAGTGAGAGGGGCATGGGGGACATGGGGGACATGGGGGACAGCGTGGTGCACATGCTGCGGGGTGAGAGGGGACATAGGGGACATGAGGGCGTCACCCACGGTGACATCCTGGCTCGGGCTGCAGGGGGTGGGGACCTGAGGGGACACGGGAGGGACACGGGAGGTCACGGAGGGCCATGGGAGGGCACGGAGGGGATGGGGGAAGTGGGGGGGGTGACCCACAGTGACACCCCAGCCCCGTCGCGGCAGGGTGGGGGTGGGGGGGGGCATGAGGGGACACGGGGAGATGTGGGGGGACACGTGAGGGCGACACGTGGGGGTGACCCTCGGTGCCACACCGGCAGGGCGGGAGGTGACAGTGAACGGGGTGGCCGTGCGACCCCCCAAGGTGTTCGGGGGGTCGGGGCTGGCGCTGCAGCGCGCGGGGCTCTTCCTGCTGCTCCTCACGCGCCTGGGGGTGGCCGTGCTGTGGGACGGAGGTGAGACCCGGGGGGACACGGGGGGACACGGGGGGACACGGGGGTGGTGGTGTCACCATGGCGGGGTCCGCGGTGTCACCGCGGGGGGGTCACCATGCGGGGTGTCCCTGGTGCCACATGGGGCCCGCAGTGCTGGCGGCACCCCGGAAAGGTGACAGTGGGGGTGCCATGGGTCCCGTGGGGGGTCCCGGCTGCCGTGGGTGGCACCGCTGCCACCCCCGGTGCCCGCAGGGACCCGCGTGTACGTGCGCGTGTCCCCGCGGCTGCGCGGGCGCCTGGCCGGGCTCTGCGGGAACTTCGACGGCGACGCCGAGAACGATTTTGGGAGCCGGGACGGGGCCCTCGAGGCGACCCCCGAGATCTTCGGGGACTCCTGGCGCCTCAGCCCGCTGTGCCCCGAGGCCGACGGCCACCGCCCGCACCCCTGCGAGGTACGGGGACAGGGGACCCGGGGACCTGGGGGACACAGGGAGACACAGGGGGACGCGGAGGGCTGGCAGGGGGACACAGGGGATAGACAGGGCGACACAGAAGCTGGCAGGGGGACACAGGGAGCTGGCAGGGGGACACTGGAGGACAGAAGAGTCGACGAGGGACATTGGGGGTACCAAAGGAACATGGGGCTGTGATGGCCCGGGCCGGGGAATGAGGCGGTGCCGCAGTTTTGGGCTGAGATTCCCTTGGAGTCTCATCCCTCGCACTTGGGGTGTGCTGCCCTGCGATTCCCGCAGAATTTGCCCTGAGCCAGGGCACGGGGGGCACACGGGGGTCAGTGGGGTCCGGCTGGGGACACACGGGAGCTGATGGAGTGTCCCCTGCCAGGACAGCCCCAGCTGAGCTGCACAGACCGTACCGGGGGCAGTGGGGGCTGGTGGAGAACACGGGAGGCCGGGGGGTGGCCCCAGGGGCGGCGGGGGTCTCACAGGGGCACACGGGGGGGGTCTGACGGGGTGTCCCCCCCAGGAGAGCCCCCAGCGCTCGGCCTGGGCGCGGGGTCGCTGCGGGGTCCTGCAGCACCAGCTCTTCGCCCCCTGCCACGACCTGGTGCCCCCCCAGCGCTTCTACGAGTGGTGCCTGTTCGACGCCTGCGGGTGAGTTTGGGGGGCTCGGGGGGCTCCCCAAGCCCCGGGGTGAGTCCTGGGCCGTGTCCCACGGCGCGTGCCCCAGGTGTGACAGCGGCGGGGACTGCGAGTGCCTGTGCACGGCCCTGGCCGCTTACGCCGAGGAGTGCGGCCGGCGGGGGAGACCCCTGCGCTGGCGGAGCCAGGGGCTGTGCCGTGAGTCCGGGGGGACCCGGGGGGACCGGGGGGTTCCAGGGTACCGGGGGGTTCCAGGGGTCTCGTCCAACCAGGGGCTGTGCCGTGAGTCGGGGGTCTGGGGGACACGGGGGGCACAGGGGGCTGTGGGACACGGGGGGGTCCCATCCTGTACCGTGAGTCTGGGGGGGCTCAGGAGAGCACTGGGGGAGCCCGCGGACCCAGGGAAGTTCGGGCTGAGCCCCCGGTGGGATGTGCCGGGGTTGGGGGCCGGGCAATGGGTCTGGGGGTGCAGGAGCCCCCAGCGGGCTGTGGGGCAGGGGGAGTCCCAGGCTGTGGGGTGAGGAGGGTGCAGGAGCCCCCCCATGGGGTTATGGACCGGGAGGAAGGGTCTGGGCTGTGCCCCCCATGGGGCTGTGGGGCTGAGGGTGTTTAGGGGGTCCCAGGCTGTGGAGTGGGGGGGGGTTCCAGCCCCCCCATAACTCCCCCTAATCTCTGCAGCCCTGCAGTGCGAGGGGGGGCAGGAGTACAACCCCTGCGGCCCCCCCTGTCCCCCCACCTGCCGCGACCTCGGCCGGGACCCCCCCGAGCTGTGCGGGGCTCTGGGCTGCCTCGAGGGCTGCTTCTGCCCCCCCGGGCGGGTCCTGCACGGTGAGGGGGGGGCACAGCGCCTGGGGGCTGGGGAGGGGGCTGGGAGGGGCTGGGTGGCACTGGAGGGGCACGGTGCCAGCCCTGTGCCCCCCTGCAGACGGGCTGTGCGTGGAGCCCCCCGCCTGTCCCTGCTTCTGGGACGGCTTCGCCTTCCCGGCCGGGGCCACCGTGACCCAGGGCTGCAGCAACTGGTGAGGCACTGGTGGATACTGGTGGATACTGGGGGATACTGGTGGATACTGGGATCCCGGGGTACGGCGTGCTGGGTCCTGGAACATCGGGACACTGGGACACTGGGACACTGGTGTTCCAGGACACTGGGACATTGGGACATTGGGACACTAGGACTGGGACACGGAGACACTGGGATTTGGGAATACTGTGACACCGGGACATGGGGACACAGAGACACGGGGGAAAGGGGGTATCGGGGTGCTGGGACATTGGGACCCCTGGACACCAGGACACGGAGACATTGGGACGCCAGGACACGGACACTGGGATACTGGAACACTGCACTGGGATTCCGGGACGCCGGGCCGTGGGGACACTGAGCTCAGGTGTCCCCCGGCCCCTCGTGAGTGCCATCCGTGCCCCGCCACCAGCACGTGCCTTGAGGGGCGCTGGCAGTGTCCCCCGAGCCCGTCCCCGTGTCCCGCCGCCGCCGGCTGCGCCCCGTGGGAGTTCCGCTGCCGGGCCGGGGGTCTCTGCGTGCCGGGCGCGTGGCTCTGCGACAATGAGGACGACTGCGGGGACGGCTCGGACGAGCTGTGCGACCCCCCCTGCGCCCCCCAGCAGCCCCGCTGTCCCGGGGGGCGCTGCCTGCCCTGGGGGGCCCGATGTGACGGTGTCACCCACTGTCCCGACGGCTGGGACGAGGCGGGGTGTCCGGACCGGCCCTGCGCCCCCCCCGAATTCGCCTGTGCCGGGGGTCGCTGCCTCCCCCCCGCCCGGGTCTGCGACGGGCGGCTCGATTGTCCCCCCGGGGACGACTCGGACGAGGCGGGTGAGTGAACACGGCGGGTCCTGGGAGTGTGAGGGGCGCGAGTTTTGGGGTCCTGGGGAACTAGAGAGCCCCACTTTGAGGGTCCCTGAACCCCTCCACCCTGAGGGTCTGTGCCCCACAGCGGCACCCGCAGATGCCGGGGGTGGGCACAGCTCGGGAGTCTCCGGTGAGCAGAGAACTGTCTGTGCCCCACATCGGGGGTCCCGTGCCCACTCGGGGGTCCCGTCCCCGCAGGCTGCGCCCCCCGGTGCGGGCCGGGGCAGTTCAGGTGCGGGGGGGGCCGGTGTGTCCCGTACCCCCATCGCTGCGACGGCCGCGACGACTGCGGGGACGGCAGCGACGAGAGCGGCTGCGGCTGCCCCGAGGGGCACCTGCCGTGCCCCGGGGGGGGCTGCCAGCCCCCCGCCGCCCTCTGCGACGGCCACCGCCACTGCGACGACGGCGCCGACGAGGCCAATTGTCCCGGTGAGGGGCAGGGGGGGCGAGGGGCACCGCTCTGGGGACCCCACCTGGGACCACCCCTCTTTGGGCACCATTCCCCCCCGGCGGCGGTGTCACCGCTGTCCCCGTGTCCCCAGGGCGGGCCACCTGCGCCCCCGGGACGGTGCCCTGCCCCGACGGCTCCTGCGTGGCGGAGGTCGCCGTGTGCGACGGCGCTCGCGACTGTCGCGACGGCTGGGACGAGAGCCCGGCGGGGTGCGCGGTGGCGCTGCCCCCCGCGCCGCTGTCACCTGTCACCGCTGTCACCGCTGTCACCGCTGTCACCGCCACTGTCACCGCTGTCACTGACACTGTCACCGCTGTCACTGACACTGTCGCCGACACCGTCACCGCTGTCACCAGGGCCATCGGCACTGTCGCCAACGCTGTCACTGTCAGTGACACTGGCACTATCGCCGACACCGTCCCCGACATCGCTACTGCCACTGCCGCTGTCGGGGACATTGTCACTGTCGGGGACATTGTCACTGTCCCCGACCCTGTCCCCGTCACCGCCAACGCCTCGGCAGCGCCGTGTCCGCCCCGGTCCCTGCGCTGCGACAGTGGCGGCTGCGTCCCGCGGGGGTGGCGCTGCGATGGCGACAGCGACTGTCCCGATGGCAGCGACGAGGGAGGCTGCGAGCCCCCGTGCGCCCCCGGCCACCTGCCCTGCGCCCCCGCCTGCGTCCCCCCGAGCCGCCTCTGCGACGGCGTCCCGCACTGTCGCGACAGCGCCGATGAGAGTCCCCAGCTGTGCGGTGAGACCCCCGGGATCCGTCTCTGGGGACGTCTGAAGGGGGGAGGTCTGGAGGTCCCTCCCGTGTCGCCCGGGGACCCCCCGAGTCCCCTGCGGACCCCTCAGACCCCTCCTGTCCCCCCAGAGTCCCCCGGCCCCGGGAGCAGCCCGGCGGGTCCCTGCCCAGAGTTCGACTGCGGGGACGGGGAATGTGTCACCTTCCACCAGGTACCGGGGGGCCAAGGGGGACCCCCACCCGCCCGGGTCACCGCGGGGTCCCGGCCCCGGCCCCTCCCGGTGCTGCCATGGAGCCCCCACAGTGTCCTTGACCCCTCCTGCTGTCACTCCTGTGTCCCCGCAGTGTCCCCGACCCCTTTCCAGAGACACCCAGCTGTCCCTTGTCCCCTCCCGGTGTCACCCCGATGTTCCCTCAATCATTCCCGCGATGTCCCCGACTTCCTCCCAGTGCCACCCCACTGTCCCCTGGCCCCTCCCGGTGTCCCTGACTCCCCTAACCCCCCCACGGTGTCACCCCAATGTCCCCGCGCCCCACGACCCCCTTCAGTGCCACTTTAGTGTCCCCCAGCTCCCTCCCGGTGTGACCCCGGTGTCCCCGATGTCCCCCCCATGTCCCCACCACCCCCTTCCCCCGCTGTCCCCGCGATGTCCCCTCAGGTGTGTGACGGGGTGCGGGACTGCGGCTCGGCTGGGGACGAGCGGGACTGCGGCCTTTGGGGTCCCTGGGGTCCCTGGGGGTCCTGCAGCCGCCCCTGCGGGCCCGGGGGGCAGCGCCGCACGCGGGGGTGTCACCAGAGTCACCCCGGGCTGCTCCGGGCGTGCCGGGGGCCGAGCCACCAGGAGAGACCCTGCTTCCACCGGGCCTGCCCGGGTGAGCGCGGGGGGCCGGGGGCTTTAGGGGGGCCGGGGGGTGTTGGGGTCCCGGAGGCAGCGCGGGCAGGATGCATCCTGATAATGCCACGTCTGCCCAGGCAAATGAGGGGTGCCCGGGGGGACCCCGGGGCTTGGGGAGGCCGGGGGATTTGGGGGTCTCATGGGGTACCTGAGGGATTTGGGGGTCCCCATGGTTCAGACTGCCGGGGGGGTTTCAGGGACCCCACAGTCCGAGGGGTTTGGGGGTTTTGAGGCCCCTCCCTTAACTCTCCCCCTCCCCGCAGTGGACGGCGCGTGGGGCCCGTGGGGACCCTGGTCCGAGTGCCCGGGGGGCTGCGGGGGGGTCCGGCTGCGTAGGAGGGGGTGCCAGCCCCCCCAAAACGGCGGCCGCGCCTGCGAGGAGCTGCCCGGGGGGAGCCCCGGAGCCCTGGAGATGGGTGGGTGAGGGGGGGAGGGCGGGGGGCTCGGAATGGGGGTCTGGGATGGGGGAAGCCCATGGGGCGGGGCCTCGGAAAGGGGGTTTGGGGGTCTGGGGTCCCATGGGGCGGGGGTCTCGGAGTGGGGCTCGGGGGGATACAGTGGGGTGGGGGGCGCTCGGCTGGTGCGGGGTCTTCTCAGGGTGAGGGGGCTTGGTGGGACGGGGGGGTCCCGGTGGGATGGGGGCCTCCCCAGAGTGGGAGGGGATTCTGGGGAGAAGGGGGCAGGTGGTCTCCGTGCCTGACCCCTGCCCCCAGCCCCCTGTGCCCCAGGGGGGTGCCCCAACGCCTCGGAGTGCGCCGAGGGGCTGCGCCCCCTCCCCTGCGCCCCCTGCCCCGCCTCCTGCGCCGACCTGGCGGCCGCTGTCACCTGCCCGCAGCCCCCGCCCTGCCGCCCAGGTGAGGGGGACGCTGGGGGGGCTATGGGGGGCTCTCCAGTGGGAGGGGCACCCCCTGACCCCCCTCCGTCCCCCCAGGGTGCTGGTGCCCGGCGGGGCAGGTTCTGGACGCCCCCGAGCCCGGCGCGGGGGCCGCGGGCTGCGTGCGGCCGCGGGAGTGCCCGTGCCGGGCCGGGGGGCGCAGGTACCCCCCGGGCGCGCCGGTGCCGCTCGGATGTCGCCTCTGCACCTGCCTCGAGGGACACCTGCGACACTGCCGCCCCCACCCCGGCTGCTCAGGTGGGTCCCGGGGGTCTCCGCGTGTCACCGCGGTGATGCCAGCGGGACCCACGGCTGTCCCCGCGGGGGTGCCCAGGTGTCCCCCGGTGACCCGGTGTCCCCCACAGTGGACTGCGGGTGGTCGTCGTGGTCGCCGTGGGGCGCGTGCGCGGGCCCCTGCGGGACCCCCGGCGTGCAGTGGTCGTTCCGCAGCCCCTCGAACCCGGCCCGGCGCGGGGGGGGCCGGCACTGCCGCGGCATTTACCGCAAGGCCCGACGGTCAGCGGGGCCCGGGGGGCGGCGGGGGGCTGGGGAGGGGTCCCCCCAGGTGTGTGTGTGACAGTGCCACCCGCAGGTGCCACACGGCGCCGTGCCGGCGGTGCCAGGAGCGGGGCCGGTGGCGCGTCCCCGGCGAGCGCTGGCGCGGGGGCCCCTGTCAGGTGTGCCAGTGCCTGCCAGGTGGGGCTGTCCGGTGTGTCCCCTACTGTCCCCTCCGCGACTCCGACTGTCCCCAGGTGAGCGAGGGGCGCGGTGGAGGGCGGGATGAGCCGCAGGTGACAGTGACGGTGACGCTGCCGGTGTCCCCAGGGCCAGGTGCTGCGGGAAGGTGACAGCGGCTCCTGCTGCACGTGCGGCCCCGCGGGTGAGTGAGGGGTCCCGAGGGGTCCCAGGGGAGGTGACCGCCATCCCCTCGTGCCATCACCGCCGTGCCTGTCCCCGCTGCAGGTGACAACGCCACGGCCACCCCGCCCGGGATGGTGACAGCGCTGTCCCCGCCCTCGCCGGCCGAGACCCCCGCCAGCCCCGGGTACGAGAGGGACGAGGTGGAGCCCCGGGATTTGGGGGTCCCCAAAGCCGGGGGACAATGAGGGGATCCCCCGCTGACCCCTCTGCCCCCCCCCCAGCCCCACGGCCGGGCCCGAGGGGCCGCCCAGCTCCCCCACGTCAGAATGGCCCGGAAGCGCCGAGACCCCCCCGGAGCCCCCCGGGGGCACCCCCAGAACCGCGACCCCGCCCGAGGACACCTCGAGACCCCCCGGAGGCCCCACGACCCCCCACGAGCCCCCACAACTCCCTGTGTTGCCCTCACTGGCTCCCACGGGGGTCCCCGCCGCGACCCCCCAAGGTGAGGAGACCCCGGGGGGAGGAAAGGCCCCCCCAGAACGGGGCCCCCGGAACTGGGGAGTCCCGGTGGGAGGGGGGGACGGGCCCCTGAAACAGCCCCCCAGGGCCGGGGCATTGCAGGGGGGCTGCAGGGGTCCAAAATTGGGAACACCGAGGTTGGGGGATGCAGGGGTGGGGCCCCCAACACACGGGGGTCACCCTGTCCCCCCCCCTCGTGTCCCCCAGGCTGTGCCCCCCCGGCCTGGGGGGGGTGGGGGTCCTGCAGCCGCTCCTGTGGGGTGGGGGTCGCTCTGCGGCGCCGGAGGGAGACCCCGGCCGAGGGGGGCTGCGCCCGCCCCCCCAACATCGACAGCCGCGTCTGCTTCCTGCGAGCCTGCCCAGGTACCCCCAAACCGCGGGACCCCCGACGGGCTGCGACCCCCAGCAGGATTGGGGACCCCCAGCAGGATTGGGGACCCCCAGCAGGATGGGGACACCCCCGTTGTGGCTGGAACCTTCAGTGCGGGCTGGGATCCTCATTTTGGGGTGGGATCCCCAGGGGTCTTTGGGGTGGGCCCCATCCTCATTTCCGGGCTGGGACCCCCAAAGTCTGGGGACCTCCGCAGTGAGTGGGACCCCCCTCCCCAGCCGAGGGGGATCCTCAGGGGGGCTCAGGGGTTTGGAGTGCCCAAGTGTGGGGGGCTCAGTGCCCACTCGGGGGTTCCGGAGGGGTCCCCATGTGGGGGGGGGGGAGGACTCTGGGTTGGGGGCTGCAGGGGGTGGCCCTGGGGCAGGGTGGGGGTGCTGACCCCCCTGACCGCCCCATGCCCCCGCAGTCGCGGGCGGGTGGGCGCCATGGGGGTCCTGGAGCCCGTGCGACGCCCCGTGCGGGGGGGGACAGCAGAGCCGCCGCCGCAGCTGCAGCGACCCCCCCCCAAAAAACGGGGGGCGGCCGTGCGAAGGAGGGGCCCTGCAGAGCCGGCCCTGCAACCTGCGGCCTTGCGGGGACCCCCCAGGTACGGGGGGGCACGGGGGGTGGGGGAGACCCCTACAACCTTGTTTCCCCGCCCCTAAATTCCCCTTTGGTCCCCCCGAGCCTCCAAACCCCCAGTGCCCACCTCAGCCCCCTAAAATCCCCTAAATCCTCCCTAAAGTCGCCCCGACCGCTCCATCCGTGACTGCTCCAATCGCCTCCCCCATCCCTGACCCCCCTGCTGCTCCCCCACGCCACCCCAAATTTTCCCCGGCCCCCCCGAACCTGCCCCGAGTCCCCCCCTTTCCCCCCGCTGACCTCCCCGTGTCTCCCCCAGCCTGCCCCCCCGAGATGCTGCTGGTACCCCCGGGGGGGTGCGAGGATCTGGGGGTCCCCCCCTGCCCCCCCACCTGTGCGGACCTGAGTGGGAACAGCTCGTGCCCGGGGAGCTGCGAGGAAGGTCGGGGGGGGCGTGGGGGAAGAGTCTGGGGGACACGGGGGGGTCTTGGGAGGGTCCCGGGAGGGTCTCGCGGGGGTGGCTTGAGTGGGGCTAGTGGGGGGATTCGAGGGGATTTTGGGGGGGATTTGGGAACTTGGAAGGGCACGGAGGGGGCCTGAGGGTGCTTAGAGGGGTCTTGGGAACTTGAAGGGGGGCGCGGGGCAGTCTGCGGGGGTGGGGAGGATTTAGGGTTGGGAGGGGTGCAGGGGGTGAAGCCCCCCCTGAACCACCCCCATCCTCACCCCCAGGCTGCCGCTGCCGGCCCGGGCTGGTCCTGCAGGGGAGCGGCTGCATCGAGCCCGGGTACCCCAAAACCCCGCTGTACCCCAGCCCCCCCATAACCCAGACACCCCTGTACCCCAAATCCCACCTGTACCGTGAAACCTACACCCAAAACCCACCTGTACCCCAAATCCCGGTGCTGGGCATCCCCAGAAAATGGGGACACTGGGGGCCTCCTAGGGGCTCCCCAGAATTTGGAGTAACCCCTCTTTTCCCACCAGCGCTTGTGGGGTCCCTGCGGGGGTGTTGGGGGGGGACCCCGGGAATCGGGGCCCCCCTGAATCCTGCGGGTGGTCGCGCTGGACCCCCTGGACCCGCTGTGACTGTGACACCGGGACCCGGCAGCGCTTCCGGTGAGTGGCTGGCCCATAGCGGGGGTCCTGAACCATGACGGGGGTTCCTGACCCATAGCGGGGGTCCTGACCCATAGCGGGGGTCCTGACCTATAGCGGGGGGTCCTGCCCCCGTTCCCATTCCCCACAGGTCTCCCACCAACCCCGCGGCCGCGGCGGGCGGTGCCCCCTGCACCGGCCCCCCCCGAGAGGTTCGGGGCTGTCCCGAGCTCTGCGGAGCCGGTAAGTGCCAGGATCCCCCCGAGACCCCCGAGCTGGGACCCCCGAGTGCCACCGCGGCCCCTGGAGCGCCTCGTGCCCGTCTGTCCCCAGAGCCCGGGAGCGCGGGGCCACCTGGGGCCACCGAGGAGCCCACCGAGGTCCCGGGGTCCCCGCAGTCGCCGTGGGGCACAGAGACCCCAGAGTCCCCAGGGTCGCCGTGGCCCCTGGAGCCGACGTGGGGCACGGAGTCGCCGTGGGTCCCAGAGCCCTCGGACCCCGCTCATGGCCAGCGGTGGCCGTGGGGCACGGAGTCCCCGGGGGTGCCGGTGTCGCCGCGGGGCACAGAGCCCGCCCAGTCCCCCGAGCCGCCGGTGGCCGCCCGTGGCCAGTGGTTGCCGTGGGGGCCCTGGGGTGGCTGCAGTGCCCCGTGCGGGGGGGGCGAGCGCTGGCGGCGCCGGAGCTGCGGGACCCCCCCGTGCCCGGGGCCGGCACTGCAGAGCCAGAGCTGCCACAGCCACGTGTGTCGCGGTGAGTGCGACACGGGCATCGCGACAGGGGCATCGCGACACGGGCACCGCGACACGGGCATGGCGACACAGGGACCCCGACACGGGCACCGCTAAACGGGATACCCTGACAGGGACCACCCGACAGGAACCCCGATACAGACCCCCGGCACAGGGACCCCGACACAGGGACCCCGACACGAGATATCGCGACAGGGCCCCCAGCACAGACCCCCACAGCGCTGCCCCTCATCCCCGTCCCACACACCCCATGGGGCGCTGAGCCGGGCGTTGTTGGGGGGCAGAGGCCGGAGTTTTGGGATGTTTTGGGGTGTTTTGGGGTGTTTTGAGGTGTTTTGGGGTGTTTTGGGGTGTTTTGGGGGGTCGGCTGCCCCCCAGGTACTGAGCGTTTTTTCGGGGGGGGGATGCAGAGGCCGGGTGCCCCCCCGGCCGGACCTTCCGCGAGTGCGGGGGGGACTCCGGGTGCCCCCGGAGCTGCGCCCACCTTGGGGGGGCCGTGGGGTGCGCGGGGGGGTGCCAGGAGGGCTGTCACTGCCCCCCCGGCACCTTCCTGCACCGCCACACCTGCCTGCAGGTGAGACACCCCCATGGGTGCTGCACCCCAAATCCTGGGCTGGGAATTATGGGGTGGGGGGGCGAATCTTGGGGTTTAGGACGGAGTCCACAAACCCACGGGTGCCCCTCACAGTGGTTTGGGGGTCCCGGGGTGAGGGTTCCCGGCTTGTGGGGGTGTCCTGGAGGTGAGGGGGGTCCTTGGGCCATGGGGGCTACACGGGTTCCCCCCCGGCAGAGTGGGGGGGTCCCTGGTTGTGGGAGGGATCAGGGGGAGGGGTCCCCTGGTCTGTGAGTGACTCCTGGGGCAGTGGGGGGGTCCCCAAGGTCTTCTATGGGGCGGTGGGTGCCCCATGGGTGCCCCCAGGATGGTGGCCGGAACAGTTGGGGGTTCATGGGGGTTCCCCGGGTCTGTGGTTTGGGGCGGTTTGGGGTCTGTGGGTGCCCCCCGGGCGCCCCCCACCCCCTGCTCAGCCCCAGCAGTGCCCCTGCTCGGTGCCGGCCGCGCTGCTGCGGGGGGGCACGGCCGGAACCCCCCCCGGGACCCCCCCCGGGACCACCCCCGGCCCGGAGCCCTCCGAGACCCCCCCTGGGGACCCCCCGATCCTGGAGCTGCCGCCGGGCGGGACCCTGCTCGTGGGGTGCGCCCGCTGGTGAGGAGGGGACACCCCTGGGGGGCTCCCCC